TGAAAAGCTAATCTTAAATTTACTGTCACCACATGCTCACAGTTCTTTCTAAGCTTTCTTTGATCTTTCAGGGTTGTAATGAAACACTAATTGTTATGCAAATTTATGAGTAAACCGGCAATGTTGAGTTTTCAGATGAGTATTTAATTCTAGCATTGTTTTGTGTTGTATTGAATTGTACATTTGTATACAGTTTCCCAAACTATCTTCCGTACACAATAAGTGGCGAAATAATAAATGCAACGTAATTGCTCTAGTCATTTGCAACAACTGCGTAATTGCTTTAATCTATCAATTCATTTTTTTAATGATTATGTATTGTATGTCATATGCACTTTTATTAGATATGTCTTGTAGTCCAGTATATATCGGGCATATCAGAGGTCAGAGGCCCCATATTTTCACACTTCTGATGTAATTGTGTTTTGGGGAGAAAATCGCAATTTGTATATCTTATTTCATATTACAATTAGTAAATGAAACACAAAAAGTTTGTAATTAAATGTTGCATTAAAGCGACTCCACTCTCCAACAATTTGAAAAGTGCCTGCCCCTTGTGGTGAATCATTCGGCTGTTATTCGACAATACGATCGGCCTGCCCAGACATTGATCGTCTGATTTGATCCCGACAAGTGTATCAAATCAACTAAGTAGACACCATCGAATACGGTGCATGGTTCGAAGCATATCAAAACAGTCTTAAAAAATGTCAAATTCCATACATCATGCTTACAATAGCAGAAAGGCAAAACAAAATATACTTTGAGTGAAACTCTGAGGATTTAAATGTGAATTAACAGACTGTTTTAGGGCAGAGGTCTACTAAGAGTCTGAAGCGTACAGGGCCAGTTAAATTCACTTTCATTGTGTGAAAAAAAATTGAATAGTCGAAAAACACACCCCCACCTACCGCTGTGACACATTGGATTAACTCTTAATATAGTTGCATGATGTTTGGATTAAAACAAGACTATATGATTACGTTTTAATTGGAGTTTAATTAAACAAGTTATTGTAAATGACAGTCCCTTTCATGTTTTATTGTGACTTTGTCAAACAATGAAAAGCATAGTCAGATTGTTATAGTATTTAGCATATTAACTACAAATGTGCATGAAACGGGTATAGAGACAAAGTTTGAATGAAATTTGTCAAGGCATACCCAGAAACATGTACGAATGTTGATTTTGTGGGACAATTAATAGCTGTCATTTGAAGATTAACAAAATAAAACAAAGCGATATTCATGTGTATTATAACTTGTGATGTACCAACTTTCAATAAATGTTGTCTATGCATGCACAATGAACAGTTGATGATATGTTTTGTGATTTTATTTGTTTTTTGACAAAAATGGTCGCCATTTGGCTAAAATTCGATGAAACGAATAATAACCAAATGTTGATTTGTGGGCACAAAATAGCCACCAATCAGTCAAATGTCAACCCAATCAAAAATAAATCGCTCAGTATGGTAAATCCCCAGTATAGTATAATTATATTAATATATATTGTTCCAAACCTCCCCCTTTACTAACCCTAAGATATGCAAACTTAACTTTAATTTGATTAAATATTAATATAAATTATGGAAATAGTGAGGGTCAAATCGTCATATTATTGACATCACCAACACACACACAAACACACACACACACTAACCACAAAGACTCCCATTGTGCGCTCATCACACTGGAATAAAAAAAGACAAATGTTTGTTTGTTTTTGTAAACAAATTTATTTGTACATTATACGAATCATGATAAAGATTATGGCAAACACTAATTTCATGTGAAGAGGCCATGCATGGCACAGTGCCCGTTAGTTATCAAATTTAAGATATATAGTTTTGTTTATAGTAAAATAGTTGGAACATAAACAAAAGTATGGATCCAGAAATGATTGACATCTTGTATCTGATAGCCAAACGAGTACTTGTCCATATTGAGAAATATTGCTCTGGAACAGCATTAATAAAAACAAAATGGCCACCAGTCGACCATTTTGTATACATATATATATCTATAACATGATGTAAAACGAATGTATCAAATTTGAACATAATCAGTCAAAGCATATCAGAGATATGTCGGCCATTTTAAATCGCATCTGAAAAATAAAATGATGTGCATCAAGGTTCCATAATGTGCAATGTATGTACCAAGTTTGAACAAAGTCCATCCATAAACACCAAGATCTAGAATGCCAGAAATGCTTGATTTTTGATGATTTTTTAGCACACAAATGGCCGCAATTTTGGCCGATTCGAATCAGATAGTCAAACCAATATATCTATGTCATGATTTAGAATGAACATATAAAATGTGAACATAATCAGTCAAAGCATGACAGAGATATGACATTCATTAAAACAAGTCGGCCATTTTTATATCGGATCTGAAATATATAATGACGTGCATCAAGTTCCTATAATGTCCAACGTATGCACTAAGTTTAAACAAAATCCATCTATAAATGCTTGATGCGCCATTCGGTCATCTTGAATCAGATCATGAAACAAATTGATATGCATAAATTATGTATAATACCATGTATGATGGATGTGTGAAGTTTAAATGTGATTGGTTCAGGCATTTCTAAGATACAGGTCCGGACGCACGCACACACGACACAGAAAGATCAAAACATAAGTCCTCGTTTTCGGACTGCGCCGGAACGGGGACTAATAAACAATGGACCGTGTTGTATCGGTATATATGCATGGCTATGAACCTCATGCATTGACAACTGCTTGCAGAGCCACCTCACTCGCTGGGTCATACGTGAAATGTAGTAAGGAACCAACAATTCCCAAAAAACAGGCTGTAGATAAGATCAGGTGTGGTGGGTTTCATAACTACACACTGCCAAAACCTACAGTGTTGAGAATACCGAATTCCATGCATGTTTTAAAATGATTGTATGAATTAACCACTGGAAGAGATATCTGGTAATTTTAGCTTTGTTAAATCTCCAGAATGGATGAGCTCCACAGTGGGATCAGGGACTGAAACCTAATGGTGGAATTCTGTCAGCGCCAGTGTTAAAAAGTAAAACGTCTTCCAATGAAACACAAACAGTACCTTCTACAAAGAGAAAGGAAAATAAACTGATGAAATCAAAGTAAAAGACTTGCATGTGGCTCACATCACATCACATCATGATTAAGACACTACAATTCATATATGTAGGGTATTATAACATTCTTAAGGTAGAGATGCAGGTTTGTGGGCACTTGGGAGTGAAC